GACGTCTCTTTGCTCTTCACGCAAAACACGGAAGTAATAATGAGAATAATGTTAATATTGATAGGATATCTAACCGCACTGCTCTTTTCAGAACAACAACAACAACTTGTTTTTATAAAACAATTCTGCGAGACGGAACAGGGTGACCCAACTATGTAATCCGCGAAGCTAACGAGTCTGTGTAGATAGTTACAATAGATATAACAACCCACGTGTTGTGATAACATAGTAGTACATTGTAACTTGTTTGAGACATCGTCACTGTCTCCACATTTATGAAATTCATCTATGCTATGAACATGTCTTCGCTCGGATTATTTCCTTTGCTCGTAGCATTCTCAGCCTTATTGTGCATGGTTGCGGCCGAGTGTAACGAGGAGGAGGCCCAGGATTTTTTGTACGAATACAACCCACTCGCTGAGGTTGCAACATCCGGATATTTGCTTGCAGGCTGGGACTATTCAACTAACATAACTCAGCACAATCTGGATATACTGGTAAGAAATGTGCGCTTTATAATTTCCACCTTTTTAAATGAGTTGTGTATGTTTAATGTTTATCAGTCTAGGTCAATGGGATTGAGTTTTGCTTGATTTGGGTATATTGTGCAGGAAAAAAAACTTAAATGCATCATATCAACGTACGATTGCTCGTACCCCTTTTCTGACTGACTCAGTCACGTAACATTGTTGCTAACATGATAATCATGTCGGACGGGGACAACGCCCGTTTTGCCTTTACCCTAATGAATTAAGCACAAATTTAATATAGGCCATAGAGGTCAACAAATAATACTAAGTAAATTTCTGAGCTGCGCTCTGAACGACGTTATCGGTTATAGCAATAACCGTCTGTGATAACTATAATTATAATAATACAACCGATTACACATACTTGACACTCAAGTACTGTCATAAACAAATTTATCCTCCTGTTCGACCGACGTCATGTTCATATTAACTTGCAGGAAGACGAAGCTGTAAATCTAGCTTATTTTTCGAAGAATGCAGCAAAAGGAGCAAATAACTTCACAACGTGTCTTGATGAATATTCAGAGATGGTTGCTAGGGAACTAGAATTTATCACCGATATCGGAGATGCTATACTAGACGCCGAGGATTTTGCTCACGTAGGTTAACAACGATAAATGCGTCGAAAATGTAATCAAGTGTTTCTATGCTTTGCATGTCCAGTTAAAGGACGGTGTTTTTCGCACCGCGCATGCGTGAGATTTATGTTGATGAACATTAATTTCCCAACGATTAATGTGCTCTGCCAGTGGCAAGCACGAACGCGAGTTTTGATCTGCACGCAATGTGCACTAAATACTACATTTTTGTACTTTGAAATGTTGCGTTTGAATCCTCCCAGGAATTACTTAGTTAAATCTCAGCAACGACTCTTTCAGTACTCGTTTATCTGCTATCTTTGCATTGTGGGACTCATATCTCGCGCACGCGTGGTGCGAGGAAACCCGATGCAAACAATGTTGCAAATAATAACTTGTATGCTCTTCTCGTTACTCAGTTACAAGGTGTTCTTACTAATATGAGTTTATTGTATTCTACGGGAGAAGTATGCAAACCGGACGACAGCACCGATTGTTACGCAAAAGACCCATGTGAGAAACACATATTTTTAATCGACTAAGGGCTACTGGATTAAATGGGCTGCATATGTTAATTTTACGTGTTTACGTTTTAATATCCATTCGCTCATATCTATCTTCTGTCTTGTACGACTAGATTTGGATGATATCATGGCAAACTCACGTAATTACAACGAACTTCTTTGGGTGTGGACAAAATGGAGGGATGATGTTGGTCGACCAATGCGCCCCCTTTACGTTGACTATGTTTATTTGAAAAATAAAGCTTCAATGTTGAACGGTGAGTAGTGTAATACTACTTGAAGTGCGCCACCTCACACCCAGAACAATATTTCCCAACTCCCATGTGTCTTAGTGGTGCACGCAAAACTGTAACATCTAGTCATTTTTCCGATTTATGCTCATCTTGTTATATTACTAGCACAGCAAATATTTTAAGAATTAATTCGGTGCTTGGGTAAGACATTTCGCTGATTCTTTTCTTAAAGTGGGGGAGTCGTCACCTGCGCATGCGTCAGATGGCTATAGCGTGTCATTGTTCACAAACAAGCGCCTACCCATGAGCCTTTGCATTTTTAGCCTGTGTTGTTATCGTCGCCTGGGACTCAATTCCCGCGCGTGCGCAGGTGACGACCCTCTCGCTTTAAGCTAATATATTTCTTAGCACTTTTGAATATGTCCTGCAACACAATCTATACATGGATACCAATATACGAACCTGATAGAATAGAATAGAATAGAATAGAATAGAATAGAATAGAATAGAATAGAATAGAATAGAATAGAATAGAATAGAATAGAATGGGATAGAATAGAATAGAATAGAATAGAATAGAATAGAATAGAATAGAATAGACGCCAAAGAGAAAATGTCACAATAAATAAATAACTGAAAGAAAACAAATTTTACCTAGCATTAAAAACTACTCAGCTTAGAAATAGGTGATTGATATTTTGGGTCTGGGGTTTGTTGATATATTCTGGTGTGTGCTAATTTTCGGATAGTTTTTGTATATTTATCTATTAATTGTGTTTATATTGTGTTTTTTTCCATTACTTGGCAACAATGTTTACATAATCTCTATTTCATCGTTGTTTTGCGTGTTTCATCTGACTGCTTATATTGATAATTTATGGCTGAATTGGTTATTATGTAGCATAATAAATATATCCTTGTTGAATTTCCTAATGCTGCTTTGTACCACTGTATACCACTTCTTACCACTCAATGGTGATGAATATTAGCATAATAATCTGAAACTGAATAATTACATTGTTCATTCTGATATTATCAGGTCATGGTGACCTTGGTTCATCTAACACTGATATTTCTTCTTCTGAAAAGACAAGATTCAAAATGTAGCATAAACAAAGTGTTAAGAATTTTGATTATTCAACTTGTTTGGCCGCCATCTTGGATTGACTGATTGAGCAGTGGTCGGCGCGCCGCATCCTGTTCGATATGGGACTCATAGCGACGTATACAACGCGTGTAAAATACATCGATTGTCTACATGCAATTCGAACACGCGCGACAACCACCGACATTCAATAACTCAACTTGTTGTTATTTCAAGATGATTAAACATACTTGATTTAGAGAAATCTACTATTATAAATGAATATCAACTTATTTGTAATGGAAACTATCCCTAAATCATATTTGCATATCAGGATACCCGGATTATGGTGCTTATTGGAGAGCTAATTACGAAGATGAAAATCTAGAAGAAGACATGTGGCATATGTACGCAGACATAAAACCATTATACGAGAAACTCCATGCATATGTACGATATCGATTGAAAGAGGTGTATGGTGATAAGATAAACCTTGATAAG